GAGAGAGAGAGAGAGAGAGAGAGAGAGAGAGAGAGAGAGCCTTTCACTTTCAAAGAAATAAAAATATGCTATGAACAAATAAAATGAATTTTAAAAAGATCAAAATAATTAAAGGCAAACCCCACCCAAACAAACAAACAAAAACAAAACCATCAACCCCCCCCCAAAAAAAAATAATTTAAAAATTTAAAAAATCCCACCAAACAAAAACAAACTAAAAACAAAAACCTGGAGAGTTTTTCAGAAACAAAAAGGGTTTCTTTTTATTGTTATTCTAATAAAATCACAGCCAATTATTAAAGAAAACATCGAAATATGAAATGAAGACTTGGCACGTTTTATTCCAATATGCACAAAAAATTGAAATTACGAAGCAACTAACTGTACAATTCACGGCAATATTAAAAACAAAACAAAACGCAGGAGATAGGTTAGTTAACATATATTATATTTTTTATCAGCACCGAAGAGATTCATATCAGTGGTTGGGTAATAGTGCGAAAAAACGGATAGACATGAATGGATTTAGAATGCTATTCTCCCCTTTCATCAACTAGGCGTAATTAATTCATATAACGGATAACGTTCAACAGATGCAAACAGCTTGGAAAAGTAATACCAAAACATAACGAATGCTTTAATACAGACTAGTAGAAAGTAAGCAAAGACTCGTTGTTAATAATGTTGTTTCATAATGATCTGCTAGCCTGTAAATACGAATACAAGGTGAACTGGTAAAAAAAATGCATGCATTATTCAATAGTTTATGTTGTCAACGTTGAGCAGTTTCCTCACACAATCACTTGTGTCGAAGAACACGTACTTTTGCCTTTGAGGAGCTTTTCTAGTTCTCACGTCGTTATGAGTTTCAAAATATACATGTAAGCAAGCGGGTGGTTGGCGGGTGCTCTGGTGTGGTTTGCTTCTTTTTCCCCCCCTTCCAAACACCTATCTATCAGCTTGGTTTCTCCTCCTTTTTTGTGTTTGTTACTCTTTTCTAATCTTCGGCATTTATATAACCATTTAATTTTGCAAGTGCTGTAAAGCTCTAAAAAAAAACTAAACTTAAAGTCGGAAAGACTGATAAAGGCTTCTTGTGGAAATACACATACTCATAGCAGGGATAAAAAAAAAATAAATTCGAAACCATATTACTGATTGATGTACATCTTCTTGCCTGCCCGGTCTTAATGACAGCATGTACCGTCAGACTTCCACACGGATATAACAAATACAAGAATGGAACTCACTACAAGAATCATATTAATTTATCGCAAATATTATCATTTCCTCCTCTAATGTGTTAGGAAAACGCTTTCCAAAGATAATAGTCTTACAAGTTGGAAAGGTCTGACAAAAAATAAACCAATGAGCAAAACGAACAAACCCGAAGATACCCCCCCCCCCCAAGAAAACAAACAAACAAACAACCCCAACCTGAAGCGAAACAAAACAACAAAAGAACCCCACCCCCAGAATAAACAAACAAACAAAAAATAAAACCAATAACAAAGTACAGAGAAACAAGCAACAACCCCCACCCCCCTTTTTTTCCCACCCCCCCCCCCCCCCTCCAAAAAAAACAAACAAAACCCGGCAAGATAGTCAGAATAATAATAATACTATGCATTCAGTCAAATCACATTTTCGCCACTCTCCTCCTTTTAACCAACTTCTTTTTGTAGACCGAATCTCTCTCTCTCTGGTTACAAAAGCGCACAAAAAGACAAGACATAGCACAAGTAAGTGCGCGAAACCAATTAATTTTGATTCTAATGCAACGTTTACTTCCCACTTTTAGCCCTGGTGAGCACTTTGGTGAGGTTCCCTTTCCTCGTTGCCGCAAAAGACATCCTCATCCTCCATCTGTTCAGCTTCTCCTCCCTCTCTCTGTCCTCCTCTTGCCACCGGCGTACGATCGTGGCCGTGTCCCTCATACTGTTGATCTTCTTCACGGGAGGCGATGCTGGTGGTGGAGATGTAGCGCCTCCGTGGGGGGTCTTCAGTTCGGACCTCAACGTGGCTGTCCCTGCTCGTTTCGCCCTCTGGCCTGGGGCCGACACCGCAGACTTGGACCTCATGACCCGGGAGTGCTGGGGACAGGTAGAGCAATAGATAAGATAACGAACAGAAGACAAGGGACCATATTATGCATGATAATACTTTATTGTCCCTATGGGGACAGTACAGTACGTGGCTACAGTAGGAATAGTAAAAGCATGTACACACATATGCAAAACACACACACACACACACACACACACACACACACACACACACACACACACACACATATAAATGCACACACAAGCACACACACAACCCCCACGTGTTACACACACACACACACACACACACACACACACACACACACACACACGCACGCACGCACGCACGCACACACACGCACACACACATACACACACATGCATATCTAACTGCAGTTTGCATGACACAGCTTTGCCTGGGCGGTAGACTTAGGCCAGATAAAGTAGATTGCCCACGCACTACTTCCCTCCCTTCTGAACTTTACTTCCTTGATATGTTCCAAAGGAGAGAGATCGTCAGTACATTTGAAATAAAAGGTGTAAGGTTGTACGGGTATCTGACCGTTTCTTTTTCTTCTCTGCTAAATCTCGTGAGAAGTCGGCTCCTGGTTCTTCAACCTGGAGTGCTACTGGTATTTATGTGTGTTACCGTTATCCTTACTTAATAGGCCTATCTATATTTGCATTTATTCTTATAAAGGAATGTTCAATCTACACAAAAAATAACAGCCAATAATAATACAGTAGTACAACATGTCACATCAGGCGCGCGCGCGCACACACACACACACACACACACACACACACACACACACACACACACACACACACACATACACACACACACACACATACACACACACACACACACACACACACACACACACATACACACATACGTCGGTGGCCAAGTGGTTAGGCTCTCGGACTCGCAACCGAAAGGTCGTGGGTTCGAATCCTGTCAGGGACCGGACGCTGTGTCCTTGGGAAAGGCACTTTACACAAATTTTCCTCACTTCACCCAGGTGGGAATGGGTATCCAGCTATAGACAGTGAAAGGTCTTGTCAATTTGTTAGTGTTTGAACGCTTTATCAGCTGCTTGCAAAGTATGCTTCCCGGGAAGCTAACAAAGTTTCTGAGTGTTCTATGGTGTGCTGGGGTAATAATATAATGTAAAACGCACAGAACTTGCTGTAGAGCGGGGTTATGCGGTATATCACAGATTTTTAAAAAGCTGTGTGTATATCTGCATAGATAAAAAGTCAACATTTACATTTCGACAGCAGCCTATTTTGCATATTTATTTGCTGATTCTTTGTGGTATGTATCTGCCGCTGCGTGATCTTAAAAATTGTGTGAATAGTGGGTATTATGAGAAATTTAAAATGCTGTTAATGTTTGTTCCAATTCAGTTCTTTTAGGAAGCTGATTGTTTTGTTACTAGCCTGTCCAGATCAAGGGGTACTGTGAAGAATACTTTAAAAAGAGAGACAGTCAGGTACTCAATACAATAATAATGCTTCCAACATGTGAATCGAACGCATGTCTATTGTGTGAGAGGAACCCAACCATTACAACACAAAGGTTGGTGATAAATGAATGAACATGTGAGCGAACGCATCACTGGATGCATGAGAAGAAGAATGAACTGATAAAAGAATACAAATGAACTGGTGGATAAGCGAGGTAAGAAGGAACAAAAAAGAATTGTTTAATGATAAATCGATGAACGAGCTAGTTTCTGAACGAGAGGAAAAAAAATAACTACACAAAAGAATAGGACCAATAATATGAATGTATGAGAGGATGAATAAATGAAATGCAGGAAAGCGAGCCAAATGAAGCAAGCATCTTTACGGATATATGAATTTCTATTAATATAGAATGATAGTTTGTTATAATAATGGACGATGATTACGAGGCGATAGCTTTTTTGTACTCAACTATCAGAGCTCACCTCTCGAACGAGATGCAGCTCGGAATAATAATACCACAAAAAGACAGTAGTTATACGCGGAGATAGACAGAAAAAGCCTTGTGCTGAACAAGCGGACAAAGGGGATTAGGTCAAGTAAGTTAAGCAGAGAAAGCGACATCAGAGAGATTATGTTGTGTCTTTGATGACGAGAAGACCGGGCTTTGTTATTGCGCTTTATGTAGGATAGAGTAGAGCCAATATTTGAGATTTCGCATTAAGAATGATAAGAGAAAGAAAGAAAGAGAGAGAGAGAGAGAGAGAGAGAGAGAGAGAGAGAGAGAGAGAGAGAGAGAGAGAGGGAGAGAGAGTTTGGGATGAAAACTCTGTGTGTGTGTGTGTGTGTGTGGGGGGGGCATGTGTGTGTGTGTGTGTGTGTGTGTGTGTGTGTGTGGGGGGGAGAGAAGAGAGAGAGAAAATAATAAAAATAAGTTTTTTTTATTTATTTATATTTTATTTTTTAAAGAGAAAAAAAAAAAAAAAGGGGGGGGAGAAAGAGAGAGAGAAGAGAGAGAGAGAGAGAGATTCAGTGAGAGAGATAGAAAGAGAAGTGGTCGTAGGGGTGGGGGGGGGGGGGAGAATAGACAGAGGAAATAAGGAAGAGAGAAAGTGACTAGAACATTTCGACTGGGCTTTAAAACATAATGCATTGTGTTTGCCTTATTTTGAAGCAGCATGGGTGCTTAATGTATATTTATAAACTGCTTTGTACTAACAATGATATGGCGGTGGTTGCAATGCATAATACCGTTGTTAATTCACACAACAGCTGATTAGAACAAGAGGAAAGCTATATTATATTCATGTGTTGGGCAGAAATTAAAGCCTCTGTCCCACACGCACATTCACGCTCACATGAGCGCATACATGCATACATATCTGAGTGCAAGTGTACGTACATGACATATACCTATGCACACGTTCTTTTACAAATGTTTTGGTAAGTGTTTTACGGCGCTCGCAACTGCATGAGGGAATATGAGCGCGCGGGACAAACCAAAACTTTTTCAGTAGGTAGGAAATTTGGAATATTTTCTGGGTTGCGGCCGAAGTCTACTCTTATCGATTTTGGACCACCAAAGGATCTTTAACGTGCACAACTTGCACTCAGGACTTCCGAGATTTTTCGCCCTGGTCCGAGTATGCTAGGTGTCGATCTTACCTACCATAAGATCAGGGGTGTGACTGAAAGACAGCAGTGAGAAGGAGACGAGGAGAAGCTGCAGAAAGTGTCAGGAGCCCAGAGGAGGGGGCCTAGGAGGTTAGGGGGTGGGGGAAGACGAAAGCAGACGACAGAACGTTGTTAGAAAGGATGTGGAAAGAAAATGTTAGAGAAGAAAACTTTCTGTCGCTATACGGATTCGAACCTGGGACCTATTGAATGAGAGGTGAACACCCTAACCTATAGACCACGAGAACCCCCATGCACAAGTTCGTTCACATAAACATGATCAAACATTAACACAGACGTCCACACGGACGAACATTCTCTCATCTCACTCGACATATGTGCAAATAGCCTATTATTTTTTCTCATTTACTCTTTAGCTCAAAAGAATATTGCAATGCCACATGTGGAATCTCGTTTGTCTCTGAGAGAATGATTGTTTGACATCATCATCATCATCATCATCATCATCATCATCATCATCATCATCATCATCATCATCATCATCATCATCATCATCATCATCATCTCTTAAAAAGAGTCCTGAAAAGTGACGATATAGATGACAAGATGATAATTAAAATATTATGCTCTAAACTTTAAGAAGTAAAAGCAATCTTGATTCTACAAATGGGTTGTAATGCCAATTATGGATCAGACAGCCTCGATTTTGTTACTGAAACAAGTTGACCGACAGGGAACTGTTCGCAAAAACGATTGAATGCCAGCGACAAGATAATACTCATGTGAATACCAACGTGGGTGCGCTCAAAATTCCTTCTTCTGTCCTCTTTGCCTGTTGTTTTGCCTGGTTGCCTGCCTTTCCATAATTGAGAATTAGTAAAGCAAACAAAAAGCACAAACAAATTAACCCACCCCCCTATCATCCACCCCCCTCCCCCAACCAGTTTCTACTGAACTGATACTGTCAGTACACTTTGACAAATGTATTTACTATGTCAGTAACCATTTTAACGAGAAACAAATCAAAATGTGTAACTCCCAATAATGGTGTAGATTACTGCAGTTGTGGCTAATCACAGGTTTTGCCATTAGGTCAGTTAAAAATACTTTCTACAGTTTGCACAACTCACGTTGGAAACCATGCTGGAATAGTCTTTGGGGTATGTTGGTTGGATTGCTGTTTAGTTAGTCACTCATTCTTGTGGATAAGCTCCATAATTTGCCCCCATCCCCACTCCCTTCACCTCTTGAATACGCAATTAACAGTCAGAATAAGCTTTAAGTTAGGTTTAACCAAAAAAAACACCCCCAAACAAACCCAACAACGAACGTTTCTAATACCTGAGAGACAGGAAATACTCCACTGGGTACATGTCCGAGAGAGTTCTCTGGTACGTCATCAAAGCCAGTGGCTGCGTCTGGCTGGTCAAAACCCAACTGTATGACGGACATCTTAGGTTTCTGTCTGTCCTTTGGCTTGTTCTTCTCCACGGCCTGCGCGTAGCGATGCTCGTAATCTGACCCACCGACATGTACCTCCAGGCAGGAAAAGTCCACGGACACTTGCTTAGGGAGACCGGGCGTATTCGCCCTTGACACTGCGTGAGCCGCTTTAGGGTCAAGGACGTGGAGAGGGATCGGTGTTGGTGATCGCAGGCGCGACTCTGGTCTGTTTTCCTGCTGACGTAGGATGTTGACCTGCATGTGTCTCGCGCGTGACGGCGGTCGAGCGTCCGTTTCGTCTTCTCCGAGATCCGTGGCGGCCTTGACCTCATGCACGTAGCCCAGGTCCTCCTGTTGTTGGTCAAACTCGTCGAATCGGTTCCCGGACATCTGCACGCGGAACAGTCTCGCCCGTCTATCCCGGGCGCTTCTCATTACCTCCCCTACGGTCACACGCTTTGCTGTCTGGCCCTTCAGAGCTTTTTGAATAGCTACTAAGTTGGAGATTTTCAAGTCCGAGGATAAGGTAGGGGACTGGAACGTAGTCCTCTGTTTCACGAGAGCTATTTTTTCTTTATTGTCCAGCAACTGCTTTTCAGTTTCTTCCGGTGTGAGGACAGCCACATTAGACATTAGTGGGGTCAAGACGAAGTCTCCGTGTTTGTTTAAGAGCTTGACCTTCACTTGGCCATCTGTCATAAGTCTAGTGAAAGCCCGGGGGTTCACGCGAATTCTCCGATTGTTGGAGAGCTCCGTGTTGGATTCCATGATACCGTCGTATTCCACTTCTGGAGGGGCGAAAGGACTAGAGGGCGTGGCTCGTTTTTTGTCTTCCTCCCCGGATGTAGAGCCTTTAGTCTCCCGCTTCAGCTGAGTAGCTTTTACGGACGGAGGGCGTTCCTTTAAAGCCGGGAACATATGAGTGACAGGAGGTTGGTTCACCAGAGACGATATACTCCGCCTATGCCCTGACTTGGGTGTCTGGCCCCTCACCGGTCCGTCAGGGGTCGTGACATCCGCGGCTGCGAAGCCACTAGCATGACTTAGCTTGCTCCGACAATTCTCTCGCTGCAGAATATTCTGGAACTCCTCCAGCTGAGCAGCCGTGAACGCGTCTTCGTCTGGGATGTCTGGGGTCTTCGGTATGTGTGGAGTAATTCTCCCTATTGTCTGCCTCGGTGTTTTCTTTTGCTGGCTCTGTAACAACGTCAGCGTCTTTCTCAGCTGCGCCTCTTCGTTGATGTAGTCCGCCATATTGAGGACGAACTGCTGATAGATCCGAGTGCATTCCGACTGGTACTGTCGCTGATTGGCTGCTGATGAGACCAGACCCCCGTCGGATACTGTGATGTCTAAGCCGAAGTCCTTGGACAAATCGCCCTCGTTGAAACAGGGCGAGGGAGCTCGTTCGTCCAGCATTTTGAAGGCGTGTGGAGTGAGAAAAGTGAACGATGTCTGGAAGAAAAAAATCGGGCTCTCACAACCAGTTTGTTATGAATGCTGAACTGAAGTGTGCGCCAATCATTTCGCGAGTGTTGTCACTGTTCTGGATTCTGTAGGAAAAAAGGAACGTAATATTTCAGTTTGACGAATGGTTGTGTGACTATAACTTTCTTTTCCACAATAGCAGTTCTCGCCTCTCAGTCTCTCTCTCAAAATCTTTCATCCACATTTTTGTTGTTAAGTTAAATACTCCAACAGTTGAAAAAATACACTTTAGGGGCAAATTGTTCATCTTTGAAGTAAATTGTGTGTTCCCCACCCCATCCTTCTTGTTTGTTTCCTTAAAACACCCCCGCTCTTCCTTTCCTCTTCCATCCACATCTCTCTCTCTCTCTCTCTCTCTCTCTCTCTCTCTCTCTCTCTCTCTCTCTCTCTCATAGTAAGAAATATGTATAAACTTACCCCCCCCCCCCTCGTAAGCTGAGAAAATTATATTTTTGGAAACTTTCGTAATAGTGTGGGTTTCAGATAAGAGATATATGCTGTGCATTCCAATAATCAGGAATAATTAACATGGTCACTTCCAATTGCTGCATGTTTCTATTGTACAATGAAGAACAAGCAAAAAGGCAAACAATCCTTACCATGGAGACAAAAGGCTGGCTTCACAGAAATGGGTACCACCTGGAGAAGAAGGAGGTAGGGGAGGGGGGAGTTGACAAGAAGGTGGAAAAGGGGAGGTCTTGGTGAGAGATGAAGAAAAGGGGAAGGGGGTAGGAGGCGAGAGCTCAAAGCAATAACACATAATCTCTCAACGTGCGACATCAATTTCTCACCTGGGTTAAGATGTTTCCATTATCAAAAGTAAAATAAATAACCACAGAAGCGAGTATCCGAAAGGAGAAAACATTTCTGTATTACGAATTTCTCCTGATGGTAGCTTACCGACAATAGCGGAGAAAATCCCTTAACGCCAACTGACGTCACTCGTCGGTCGTCCCAGGCCACAGAAGTAAAACCCAACCTGACGTCCCAGAAATCTTTTCGTCACTCACAACGAAAATAGATTAAATGCTATTTAATTATTCTTTAAATATCGCATCTCCATTCTATACGTTATTCAGTAGCTGTCATGGTATATTTTAGCTGAGAAAACAAGGAATACAACCTGATGTCCCAGAGATCTTTCCATCACTCGATCTCAACGACAATAGATTGCATGCAATGACATTATTCTTTAAAAAACGTGTTTCCATTTTATAAATTATTCGGTAGCTACCACTGCAAGAGTGGCTCAGACTAAAAAGCTGAAGGCATTAATGCATTAGGATACGCGTGGGGGACGAGTTCGAACATCGTCTCATGCCAGCGTGTCAGAATGCACAAAGTTGTCAGATTTAGTGTTGCCTCCCCCCTTTTCCGTTGTTTTTAAACACTGAAAGGAGAAAAGCAAGAACTCAGTTTCCCCCTCCAATCCACACAGGAAAAAAAAAAACAACTTTAAAAAATCGGACATTTGCACAAAAGTGTATACAACGTGATTACAATAACATTTCAAGGTACTTGAGCAGCAATTAGTTTGGATTCATTAAAAAAATCAACTTCAGTTAAAATTTAGCGATTTATATTGATCAGGCTCTTTCACTTGAGAGGTTGTAGTTTCTTAGGGTTCCCCCGATCCATCTTTTGTATGGGCTGCGTCTTCTTTTGTAGCCTAAGTGCAGCGTGAAACTCAAACAAAGACAAGCTTTTCAACTCGATACAACATTTAAAAAAATAGAATTATACCTTCACTTCTTCGTATTGTATCATGCTTTTAAAAAAAATCTATCTCAAACTGCTTCCTCCGTGATACATTAGCTACTGCTGTTCCGCCTGCCTATTTCACCCCTTCTGTGGGCTGGTCGCCAAAACTAATCAACAGCGCTCCTCTTGCTGTGGGCTCGACTAAAGTATTGGGAACTAATAAACCCTCTTCGTTTATTGTCGTGAGCCAAGTTATTATAGGGAGATCGGGACCAGTGCTTTAATCCAGATCCTTATGCCCAGATAATCGCCGCTGGATGTTTTGAAGCCAGTTGGCCATGATCGACCCTGCTAATTACGTTATTGAGCAATCTAGAACACACATGCCTGAGCGAGACAAGGAGGATAGTTATGGGCGGCCATTAGTTTTTATATCAAGACAGCGGGAAAAGGGGCACGATAAAAACCATTGTGTACGCGGTGCACACTCACGCGCGAACGTACTCACTCACACACACACACACACACACACACACACACTCGCACAATCTCATATACAGACCCGCCTCCCCCTCACACACAATCACATGCACACACACATGCGCACATATACACACACACAGACACGCACGCACATACACACATACATACACGAACCTTATACACACAC